GAGAGAGAGAGAGAGAGAGAGAGAGAGAGAGAGAGAGAGAGAGAGAGTCTCCGTGTGTGTGTGTGTGTGTGTGTGTGGCGGGGGGAGGGGGATGTGTGGCAATCCTGCATCCCCAAACGCTTGAGATTTATTCAGAGAGATTGCTGATGAGGATGTGATGGGGGTGCATTTTGATGCATTGTTACAGAACAAACAGTTCCAGATGGGACTTGAGGCGTTCAGGGAAATGGTGAAGGCTGGGCTGCTCCCACAGTACTCCACGTACAACATGCTTTTCACAGGGTGCAGAATCTACGGGCAGCCGCAGGCGGCGATCGAGATCCTGCAGCACATGAAGGCAAACAACCAGCCCCCTAGAGCGTGCTACTACGCCGATGCGATCGTCTCGTGTATTCCTCGAGGGAGATGGAAGGATGCCACGTGGCTGTTTGAGGAGTTTCAGGCGGCAGGTCATCATCCAGATGTAGTAATATTTACTTCTTGGATTAGTTCGTGTGAGAATTCGGGCCAGTGGAGGCATGCGATGAAGATCTTCAGCAAGATGCAGAGAGCAGGCGTGGAGCCGAACGTAGTGTCGTGGACTTCACTTATCACTGCCTGCGGTCACGGCGGTCAGCCGGACCTGGCTCTGGGACTGTTCCAGCAGATGCGATTGCGCGGGGTCGAGCCAAATGTCATCACGTGGAGCGCGCTCGTGACCTCGGTAGCGAAGGCTGGACAATGGAAACGCGCAGAAGAGCTTTTGCGGAGGATGAAGGATGAAGGTTGCTCTCCCAACCTGGTGACGTGGGCGGCACTGATTGGAGCATACAACCAAGCTGGACTTTGGAAGAAGGCAGTTGAAACCCTTGCAGTCATGACTGCAGAAGGATGCAAACCTGAGGTGGGGAAGGGTTTTCTTTCTTTCTTTTTCTTTTTTTTTTCTTTTTTTTTCTTTTTTTTTTCTTTTCTGGAACGCGATACTGAAGGTGTTTAAAGTTTAAACCACCAGTTCACACGAGCCTAAGTAGAGCTGGTATACGTGGTAAGAGCACTTGGCTTGGGGTGTGGGCCGGTAGGGAAAGCGGCAGGCCACTTCGAAAAGGCGCACTCGCAGGTTCGAGAGCCTTTGAAGGCAGCTTCGTCAACTTAGGCTCCTGTTAGCTGGTGGTTTAATACTGAGTCAGGCCATACTCACACGAGGACTTTTGTAAATGTATCTAACTGGAATAACGGCCAGATCTGGATGAATCTGACGGCACTCACGTCCAGAGCTTAGTAGAAAAGGTCCTAGTGTGAGTATGCGCTCAATGTGTCTGCTTGTGCCCATTGTTCCTCCCCTCCCCTCCCCTCCCCTGCTTTTGTTGGTTTCCGTGTGAAAGGACAGAAATAGCCCGATATGTGTTTGAAAAGGACGAAAACGGCCAGGTCAGAGTGCACGGCTGCTGGGCAAGGAACCCATACGTGCGGTGCTGAGCGTTATATGCGGACTCCATGTGTCTGCTTGCACCCATCATTTTTTCTTTTTCAAAATTATTGTTTATCTATTCTAGGTGAAGACAGACGTAGCCCGATTTGATATGTGTTTGAAAAGGCAAAAAAATAGCCTGATGAGAATGCACCTGAGAAAGGGACCTGTGCATTACTGAATGCACAGGTCCTGAAGGGCCTAAGAATGCCAAATAGAGACTTCACGGGTCAAGCCCAGTAGGTCTCGAAACTAGTGAATAACACATACAAACTGTAGGTCACGGGATAAAGTCCCGCAGGGCTCAGACGTGGGGAACAGCAGACAAACTTAGTGTACAGCCCGCGTAAGCAACTGCAACTGCAATTCATTGCAGTCGTGTGGTTGTTGAACGAGGAGGCAAATGCGTTTGTTCCGTATGCAGGTTGTAGTGTTGTCTTGTGGTTGTCGTGCGTTCGTTGAGCGAGGAGTTAAATGTGTGTGTGTTCTGCTTGCAGGTTGTAGTGTGGACGACGGTCATCGCGGCATGTGCACGAGCGGGCGAATGGCAACTTGCAGCAAGTCTCGTCGACGAGATGCGTGGAGGCGGCGAAAAACCGAACGTAGTTACCTACTCTATACTGATAAAAGCTTTCGGAGACGCGGGGAGGTGGTGGCTGGCGAAGGACTGTTTTGAGCAGATGCTGTCCGAAGGTGTGGCGCCGAATGTTTACGTGTGCAATTCTCTTCTTCGCGCATACGCTGGCGGCGGCCAGCTCGACCCGGCCGAGGATCTCTGGAACAGAATGGTCCTTGAGTTCCGACTCCGTCCCGACAAGTTCAGCTACACTGCTCTTATTCACGCGTGTGGACGCAGTGGAGCGTGGGACCGAGCGGAAGGAATCTTGGAGACGATGCACAGAATGCAGTGCAAGCCGGACCGAACCGTGTACATAACTCTCCACCAGACTTATCTCAACAACGGGCAAAACGAAAAGGCAGCAGAAGTGAGGCAACTGCTGGAGGGTTTGAAGCCGGAGAGCGATGTTGAGGACCAATCCACGGGCTCATCCGATGATTTAGGTAAGCACGCTAAAGTTCAAACAGTAAAAGACAAAACCCTGTCTCATGATGTAGCGAAATGCTGTTAATCCGTTCACACAGTTTCACACAAACAAATGCCCTCGACCACTTTTCTCAGGGGTATTGTGAACTCTGGGAGACGTAGTGAGTCCTTACCCATTGGTCAAATGCATCCTGGGAACACTGTCAAGCATCAACCTCCTCATGAGTTGGCGAAAGTCCGATGAAACGGTCTGACACAGTCGTGCTTTTTTCAATGGAGTTGTGTATAGCGAATATGATGACACACACACACACACACACACGCATGGTGCGCACACACACACACACACACACACACACACACACACACACACACACACACACA